GTGAGAGAATTCACCAGAGCCAGAGCGGGGAGCAGAGCAGGCAGAAGGACCGAAGTACACTGCTGAGGGGAGCAGTGGGTGGCAGGAGAGGTCTGCGGACCCTCCTCCTGTGGCCAGGGAGCAGCTGGGAATCGAACTGGCGCTGCAGAGGCTGCGGGCAGCTTCGCAACCCAGCATTCAACTGCTGCGCCACCGGGGAGGCCCTCATTCAGTTTTTCCAGACCAATGCAAGGATAAACTAGATTTTATTATGTGGCTATGTCAATATGATTAATAGATTACTTGACAAGAAATGGTTCTTTTTAGGGAGAATTGTAGACCTTACAGAATTCTGCAACTACTTTATTTCCAATATTGGGAAATTTTAAAGTCCTTAAGTTACTTAACTGAGAGAACTCTAAATAATGATACCCTGTATGAAAGAACTTAAATTTCAAAAAAGGAAATGTAGAACTGGAAATTTTTTACTTGCATAATTCCTTTTTTAACTAAGAGTTTAAAAGAAATTTTGTAAGAAAAGTTTGAGTGTGAAACAATTTTATTGGAAATGAACTGAGCACAGTATTTACTGTATCAAGTTTTTTTCAGGGTAGAAGGTACTAGACTCAAGCATCAGGAGTACAACAAAGATGAGATAAAAGTGTTTAACATAAGTGTTAGAATAAACTTCCTAAAAGTTATGCCTGTCTGCTACATGGTGTTATTGCATAAAATTAATAATCTAGTAATTTTTAGCATTTGTGTCTCAGGATATGTTTGAAGGGCAATATATTCTGGGGCAGAATGATTTTGTGAGTACTAATTTATCCCATATTTTTCAGGCACAGAGATTATGAGCTACATTGAATGTAGGCTACATAGATGCTGATTATCCCACTAAAAGATGTAGTCCATAATAGTCCATAGTAATAATAGAAAAAAATCAATAAATCAGTAAGTTGGGGCATGTGTTTATGACGTGCATGAGAGTTAAGGTGACCTTGCAAGTCAATTTGCGACAATTAAGTAAACAACATTTATGGGAAATTTGTATCATTAGTGGGACCTTTTAGAACCAAGGAATAGTTTTATGTTACAGGGCTTGCACATGTTGTTTAGTGAGATAAAAATATGTGAAAATGTATTATAAAATATTAAATTTCAAAGAATTACTATGGTATAACATCTTGCATCATAACTGATATTTTTAATTTTCTGCTTATTTTTTAATCTCACACTTTTTCAGTATGTGAAACTGTCATAAAACACAAACCAAATAAAGCTAATATCATTACATAACTATTGCACAAAAGATATTCTGCAGCTACAGAGAAGAGAGTCCCTTACATGACAAATTATTTATAGAAAATTCTGATCAAAAACATGATTTACTGCCATTTGGAAAGAAACCCTATTTTACCTAACAGCTTGGGAATTTAAAAGTCTTCTTTATCATAGTAGCACATTTTGCTTTGAGTAAAGTAATATGAATTTTCTTAAACTTGGTACATGGTATTCTTATGGGAGAACTTTTGGAAGTAAGAACATCTTATGATTTATAGCACATTTTCAAAATAAAAGTCACTTTTCTGTAATAAAAAGTGATTAAAAATGATTTTTACTTAACTGATTTACATTATAATGGATCTTTTTCTTATTAATAACTTTAATTTGATGAATGTTTAATTAAAGAATAGCTCACAAATGAACAAATGCATTCTGTTTTGTGTTTTTGTTAAAATAGGTTAATGGCCATTTATTTGAAATGATTATTTACTCAAGCTGACTTCTAATAGTACTCTAGGGCATTTATCACAATCTCATAAGAATGTGGATAACTTTGTCTCTTTCAGGAATTTTAGTCATTCTTTTGTCATTTCAAATTTGTTAGTAATCCATGAAGAACATAATTCATTAAGTGTGGAAATCTTTGGTAAATTCATATTCATCACATTTTTATTATTTCTAAGGATTCCAGAAACCACCCAATCTAATTTTAGCTTTTGCTTTGTAACATAATGAAAAATTTTCAAGAGCATATGGACTTTATCACACATATAAAAAATAGATAGTTCCCTTTAGATATGTACATTCCATGGACACCTAACACTTGGTTATTATTTCACTGTACTGAAAGCTAAACAGCCGCCAAAGGACATAGAAAATACAATTCTTTGCCTCTGTGAATAAGGGAAAAAGACTTCCCTTGGTAAAATACTCAGAAAACTGTTCCAAGAATATTTATTTCTGTATGCATGCACTAAACAAATACTTAAGTATCAACTATGTGCCAAACTCTTGTTTTAGGGACTGAGAAATTACCAGTGAATAAAACAGATAGAAGTCCTGTTCTTCGTGTATAAGTAAAATGAGTATGTTGCATGGTAACAGATACCACAGAGAGAAAATTAAAGCAAGGAAAGTTGATAGGGAGTGTTAGGGCATTGCAATTTTAAGTAGTATGTTAGAAAAGATTTAACAGAGAAGTTACTTGTATGGAGACCTAATGGATATGAGGGTATTAGTCATTAAGATATCTGTAGGAAGACTATTCAGGCCAAGAAATGACAAATGTTTAAAATCTTTACCTGGGAGGGTGCCCAACATTTTTATGGATCAGCAAACAAGCAAAGTGGGGCAAAAGAAAAGAGGAGACTTGGAGGGAGGCCTTTGAAATATCCAGATAAGCAATGCTGGGTGCTGATAGTATTATGGTAGCAGTGGAGGTGGTGAGAAATCAGCATTTGCTGATCGTTTGGATATGGGCTACGGAATAGAGGAGTCAGGATTTTTGACTTGCAAAGTGTAAAGACAGAATTTCCATTAACTGAGATAGGATGTGGTGTGGAGTTTGGGGAGAAAGATTAGACTTACTTTTTGGATATTTTTAAGATACTTGTTATTCATTAAATGGAGATGTCAAGCAGGATATTGGATATGACATTTCATGGAGAGGTTTGGCAGAGAGATAGTGAAGCATGGTAACCTAAGTAGCCTGGCAGTCTTAGTAGCAGCCTTTTGCTCAGTTCCTGGTATGCAACTTAGTCCCTGGTATGAATCTTGCTTCATGTTAGACCATGTACCACCATGAGGCAGAATGGACCCGGGGCGGGGGGGCTCATGAGTACTGACCTTTTACTCATTCCTTGGTATGCAACTGTACGACTCACCTCTTGGTATGTAGCCACATCATATCTGACCACGTGCTGCTGCCAGTTCAAACCCGGATCCTTGTAGAAACTGAAAGTGTATATATAAGCCCCGACTTCCTGCAGACTGGGTTCAGCCTTTGGATAAGAATCCGCTGAGTCAGCACTGGTGCAATAAACCTGCTTCTTGTTAGCCATGGTGTCTAAATTTCCTTTGTGCCAAATAACATTTCTGTAAGCAATTGTGATATATTTGTGAATCATTCTTGGAGTTAAGAATAAGAGAAAAATCAGTAAAGGAAAGACTTTAGAGAGAAAGATAAATTTTAAGCTGGATCTTTGATTAACAGAAAAGAAACAATAGGGGATTCTAGTTAGGGAAGATATCCCAGAACTTTAGAATATCATCTGGAAATAAATCTGAATGCTTTACTATTTTTGTCCTTTTTTTTTTAATTTTTATTTTTTTTAAAGATTTATTTATGTGTATAAGAACTGGGGTACAGGCCAGAGGTGTGGAGGGTGAGAGGATTCACCAGAGAAAGAGTGGGGGACAGAACAGGCAGATTGACTGAAGTACACTGCTGAGGGGAGCAGCAGGTGAGTCAGGAGAGGTCTGCTGCGCCATGTGGGTAGCTCCCTGGCTGGGGATCGAAATCTTGTGACTGCAGAGAGCTTCATAGGTTACGTCTTAACCCCTTGTGCCACCAGGGAGGCGCTGCCCTTTTTTTAAATTGAAAACTTCTGTAGTGCATCATATATAGTGTTTTGAAACAGGTGTACAGGAAATATTTATTGACTTCTATTGTATGAATATGTTTTTCAAAGTTTACTTCATTAATCAATATTAGTCACTGAAATTTACAAGTTTCTTAATTCTAGATTTTTTATTTTGCTAAAATACACATGACTTGTGATTTGCCATTTTAACCAAGTGTGCAGTTCGTGGCATAAAGTACATTTTGAAACTTAGTTTTGTGTGTGTAAAATACTGTCTCCAAAATGTCAACATTGCTGCTTATGAACAAAAGGAATTTAGAGTAGGTTGGATTTTTATTCTTTTTTTTTAAAGATTTATTTATTTATACAAGAACCAGGGTACAGGCCAGATTCACAGGAGAGTGAGAGGATTCACCAGAGACAGAGCAGGGAACAGGACAGGCAGACTGACGAAATACACTGCTGAGGGGAGCAGCGGGCACGACAGGAGAGATCTGCCTCGCCATGTGGGACCCTCGCCAGCTGGCCGGGATTGAACTGGCATTGCAGAGGCTGTGGACAGCTTTATAGCACGGCGCTCAACCACATGCGCCACCAGGGGAGACCTGGATTTTTATTCTAAGAACATTTTAGAATCATAAAGAATTTTCACTTTTGTTTGAAAGATTAGGGCAAGCAGTAAACAAAAATGAAAATTAGTGCCTTCTAAAACAGAATTTTTTCTTCTCTTGAAAATTGAGTTTCCATTTGAGATATCATTTTTAATTATTTAGGTAATTATTTAAAATAGCTGTTTACCTTTGGTTTACTTTTGATTATCTTTAATTGCCGTACACAGAAACTAAATATTCAAATCAGGTTGTGGTACATGTAGCTTAAGGAAGGAGTTTTTAAAAAATGAAATAAGTATGCTGTGATTCATAATTTCTTTATTTACTTCTTAGACTCCTCTGAAAGTATGTTCCTTTATTTTTTAATTATAAATTATATTTAAAATTATATTATCTAATTAATTTTGGATGCCAAATTATATGAACAAATATATTCATATATATGTGTGTAAAAATTTCATGATATTTTTTTCATGTTTGTCTCTTGTGAGTTATAAACGTAGAAAATTCAGTCTGTTGATTATACTTTCTCTTTTTCTAGGGCACAAAGAAGGAAGAGTTTGAAAGTGAAGTGGAAGTGTCTGGTTTAATTCAGCCTGCAGAAGTGTTTGCTCCCAAAAGCCTGGTTTTGGTATCCAGATTAGATTATCCAGAAATTTTTAGGGTAAAGAACTCATTGTTGATTATTATTGATTTGAATTATTATTTAAATCTCTTGGGTGAACCATGGTTCACTGTATTTAAAATATCTTTAAGTGGATTTAGGAATTCACCAATGAAATTAAATTACTGGAAACAGAAGAAATGTATTGATGTTGGATGATATAAGTTCCTGGTTATGTGACTATTTTGTTTGCAGAGTCAAGACTTTTATATTTGAGTTTATTCTGTAATGTTAAAAGAATAAACTCTGAAAGCTGAATATTAAAACAAAAAAAATTACAGGTTGTGAGCATATTGTTTATAGTCTTCACTCATTCACTACTGCATATAAAATGCCAGAAATGAGTGTTATTCACTTGCCCTATTTAGAGGTCTGACACTCAACAACCCTCTCACGAAGATATAGCATCCTCCTTTCAAGCTTTTTCATTGTAATGGTGTTGTATTGCCTTTCCTGACTTGGGTCAAAGTCCACCAGTTCCCATCAGTCTCTTCTGATTTCTTTCTCTCAGGTAGGAGTTTTTCTAGCAAAGAGAGCTTTTCAGAAAAGGGAAAGGCATTTTCAGAAAAGTTTACCTTAAATTCAGTGGTCAGACAACCATTTTCAAGCAGTCTACAATAAATTGGCATCACTTCATTTAGCACAAGCTTCACATCTCCATGCTTGACAGTCAGTCCTGAATGAGAGGTGATTGCTGTGATTTGGTGTCATGAATACTGACCATACAGTGCTTTAGCCAGTTGTATGTCTATGTACATGAAGGTCTTCCTGCCTAGTAAAAAAAGCATAGTCCTGATCTAAAACAATGATAATATGGCTCAAATCCTGGCTCTTGGTCTTCTTCATCATGGAATGTAATTTTCTGGCCATCTTTTCATGCCTATGTCCATTGTAGCTTTTACATCTATCTGTAGAATTGATCTGCTTCCCTTGGCCCCAGAATTCCTACACACAGACAGAATTTACTGAACCTTTCCAGGTTCTCTCTAATGAATACTTGCTTGCATTTCAGTACCTCAGCAATTGGGATAGCATTCTGCTGCTCTTTTCCTACCATATCAACCTTTACTTTGCCATAAATCACATTTTTCAGAACTAGCTTTCTTGTTGCACCATTAAAGAAATCTTCTAGTGTTCCTGAGTTGATGCACAATGTTTTTACCTCTTTGTTTTTCCTGCATCCTTCCTTCTCCTCTAAAAACCATATCAGAGATGTCCAAATAGGGAGCCAGAATTGCCACCTGCCTCATCTTCCATAATTACCTGTTATCCTTTGTCATATAATTCCTTTTTCTTTGCCCAAGAGACTACTTCATAAGCTTGAGAAATCTGTTTAGATTTCTCTCCTTCATTTGGAATCTTATAAGGGTAGTACTTGAAGCCAGTTTCTTTAAGTCGTCATCAAATCTTCCTGGGTGGTATTGGGTTTGATCAGCCTCTAAAATATCATAGTAAATGGTTTTGTGCACTGTGTTCTACAACTTGACAAACAACTGGTAAATGGACTGAGCTGGTGTCAGGGAACTGGAAGATGCTGGTTGCTGTGTACAGGTCTGGCAGCTGGCACTCCTCCATCTCTACTGAGCATTCTGGAGAGTTCTCTAATATGACTGTTTAACTTCAAAGGATGTATTGTTTTAAAATAGGTTTTATGTTTACTGATTCTAAAATTTATGAATCCTAAAGAAAACATTTGGTTACTTACAGAAAAATTTAAATACATTAGAATGTAGCAACATTGTCCATGTTTATTCACCTTAATTTGAGGAGTCCAGTTAAAGTAAATAGGGTGGATATTTGAGATTTTAAGTAGTTCTGACTACATAGCTTTAACATATTGACTTCATGATATTTTCTTTTTTTTTAGATATTCAGTATTTTCAAATGTAAAGGAAAAATTTAATTTTGTTATAAATATATTTCGGCATTGAAAGAAGAGGGCTTATTTTTCTTATTCCAGTTGTTAACTTTAGTAATAGTGATGTGCCCCACCATCCAAAATCATGGTTCTTCTTTGGGAAGAATAAACTATACCTTAAAATTTCTCAAATATATGGGAATTTAATACATAATTTATGGGGAAAATTTCCATATGCTATTCTAGAAAAATGAGATAATAATATTCTAGAAAAATTAATTCAATGTCAAGATTTTTCATGAATGAATAACTTCTAGCATACTAGTTTTTCATTGTCACAAATTTCAGTAAACTGATTCATAAAGATTGTATTTTGTACTCCATTTTACCACCTACCTTCTTCTGAACTTAAATGTTAGTTGTATCTATCTTTTGCTATTCTTTGTAATTCATGTTAAATTTTTCCTTAGAATAAAAGCCTAAGTTTATAAGAACCTCTAAACAAGGTAAAATAGCTAACTTTTCATCTTAAAATTGGTAGTTTTCTAAAGTAAATTGAGACAAAAATAATTTTAAGCCCTACAGATTTTCTAGTGCGGTTATATAAGTGCAAACACCTGTTTCACAAATTACAGATTTATGCTTTTTATAAATTCATCTCAAAAGCTCATTTGGAGCTTCTGGTTCTAGAGGAAAATTTAATAAACTTAATAACATTTGCTGCTTAAAATTTATTCCATGGTCACTGTAGAATATACTTTACTTGGTTCAAAGAGAAATTTTCCTAGCAGCAGATGTCATAGCAATTTATTTATAGTGCTTACTTTTTCCATAAAATAACTACATGCATCTTTCTCTTTGCAGGCTTGCCTTGGTTTGATCTATACTGTATATGTGGATAGTCTGAATGTTTCCTTAGAAAGTCTCATTGCAAACTTGTGTGCATGCCTAGTCCCAGCCGCTGGAGGATCTCAGGTAAACAGAACAAAAAAGGAGCTAGAGAGGTTCTGTTCCTCTTCTCTTTTCCAGTTAATTTAGAAAAGGGAAAAAAGAATTCTTTAAATATTTTCATTTTAAAATGGAACTAGCTTGCTTAAGCATTGTCCCTATGGTCTGCTTTCCAGAGACTCAAAATTCCATTCTTTGTTTAGGTCATGAGGTTAATTTTAACATAGGGTTCACCTTTCACATAGCATGATTAGAAGTCATATTTTGTGTAACTTGAACTCCAGTTTACATTTTTAAGTTGAACTTTTAAGATGTGTACTTTCTATGTTTCTTGCTTCTCTATAGAGTTACAGTTCATTTTATTAAATTAAATCAAAAAGTTTTTGAATGATAAAAATTAGGAGATAACATTAAGAAAACTCAGCACAATTCTTTGTAACATTATAACTACTTATTAATAGATTCATTTATTTATTCATTTCCCTGGATAACAGCTCATATAATGGCCCTAAAGCCATTTTATGTAGTTTGTTAAACTTCAGTAGAATAGGAGACTTTAAACTTTGAAAAAAGGCTTATTTTCCTTATTTCAGTTTGCTATTTTTAGTAATAATAATGTTGACCATTGTCTTCTTTGCAAAGTATAAACTTTCCCAAAGATTTGTCATAGTTTGAGCCTCAGATGAAGACATTAAATGCCTTCACTGAAATAAAACTTACTCAGAGTGATCACACATTTGTTATCTTACATATGCCATGAGATTTTCACATTTGTTTCTGAATTAGAAAATAAAAATCTGTATCTAATATTTCTAGGGTACCATACTTTGAAGGGAAAAAAAGATTCTTTATGCCCTAAAATAGATCACTTATTTTGCTTTATTCTTAAATAATATTGGGGAAAATGCCAGCCCTATTTGCATTTCTTATCTTCAGTTTGACAAAAATGTTACTTACAGTGGAGTTGGCATTCTTATTCCTTGCCCTTGGCCACCTTTTTTTTTTTTTTAGTTACTCGTTAAATCTGACTTGTTTTCATCATGTTGGCTCCACTCCTTTTGCCCTATACTCCAAGAGCAGAATAGAAAATGCAAGCTAGGTCACAGTTAGATCTAAACTTTAAAGCAGTGGTTTTATGGAGCCTTTGTTATAATGGAATTTTTGTTGACTTTATCTTATTTATTGACTTACTATATTTTAAACTTTTTTATTGTGACTCCTAGAAATTTTAAAATTACGCGTATGTCTCAAATTACATTTTATCCCATATTTTAGTGATGTATAATTGGCATAGAAATACTGATTTTATTGTTTTTTAGTTAAGTATCTTGTCAGTGATTTTTGTATCATTACTAAATTTTCTCAATGACTGAATTTTCTTTTGTCATATTTAGTTGGACACAAGTTACCTGAATATTTGGACTACTTTGCATTTGTTCATTTGCTCTTAGGTGGTCATCATCTGCTCTAAATTTGAAGTTCAAAGGGATTTTTTTTTTTAATCAAAAGAAAATGTCTGAGAAGAAATCATTTGTGTGTTTGTTTTTCCCTATCTGCAGAAACTGTTTTCCTTGGGTGCGGGAGATAGACAGCTTATCCAGACTCCTTTGCATGACAGTCTTCCTGTCACAGGCACTAGTGTGGCTCTCCTGTTCCAGCAGTTGGGTATGTTCTTTATCATTTTCAAAGTCCTTTTGTGGAAGCCTACCAAAAAAATTATTTTAAGCCCACTTCATTTGACACGAATCACGAAAATATAAAGCAAACCATTAAATATCTGACCTATAGAATATGTAGTTATGTGTGTCCCAGTCTTAATAACTAACGTTCATTTCTTTCTTTCTTTTTTTTTAACTTTTAACCTAGACCTTGGACTTAGTTAGGCCTTTAGAAAGTAGGCATATTTTCTTTATGGTTTAAAAGATGAATAAATAGTATATTTTTCCTTTTCCTTAGATGTATTGCTTTTGTAGAAATTTTATCTGATGGAAGCTCAAATTCCTTTTCTTCTCATTCTGCTCTCTGTCAGGACTTTATCACCAATTTTCTAGCAGTGACTAGAATGAATTAAGGGAGTATACTTGAAAGTGCCTTTTGCACTTTAACTTGTACTTCATTTAAGGAGTAATATAACTAAAAGTGAGGATGTTGCAGTACATGGTTGATTTCCTATTTATTTTGTGTCTTATTAATGCAAGCCTGCTTCTAAGTGTCCCACTCTCCTTGATTCAGTCTTTGTCATTGTTCTCCATTGTGTTTGTCTTTATCTTTTTTCTGGTTCCATGGAGGCCTTTCTTTCCCTTCTTTGGGGTTTATATTCTGCATCTCTATGAAATTCTTTGTTCCTTGCACAAAATTCTACCTTCTATCCCTCCTATCTCATGTTGAATTTTGCACTTTGCTCAGCTCTATAATTTATCACCCTTTTTAATTAGTGGCCATCCTTATCTTTCTGCTATGACTTCAATCAGTTAAATATAGAGAACCTTAAAAGAGATTAAAGTAAATATTAGTAGAATTTTCTAGTATCCTAATAAAGATTAATGGTGATACCAAAACCACAGTAGTAGTTCTGCCCCCATTAGATCTGTCTCTTCTTGGGAGTTAAAACTAAATATTTACATGTTACTTCTTCTCTTTCCTCTTGAAAGTTTGTGCTTACTGTGTCATCTCAATTAAATCCTAATTTAATTAAGATTATTTTCTTTAATGTGTAGAAATCTCTCCCTGGTGGCACTTCTCCAAAGGACATCTTGTTAATTAAATTCTCCCTTCACAGAAGTTTAAAAATAATTTTAGGGGGTTCATGTACTACCTGGAGCCTGTTCATGATCCCTATTAACCATGATTTAATTTATTTTAGCCAAGCACAACCTGACTTTTTTACTTTTAGAATGTTTTGTATACCTCTAAAGGGTCAATTGAACCACAGGTTTACCATGAAGAAGAAGAATACAAGGATATGATACAAATAAATTATTTTGCATACCCAAATGCTATCATTTATCTTACAGTATGAGTGCTCTATAAACCTATCATGCTGTTGAGTTTTCACAACGAGTGGAGGAGGAGGAGGGAAGAAATTGTTACTAACAGCTAGTGTTCTAGACTAGGAATATTAAACATCTTAAATGCATGACTTATATGCTTCAGAGTAACTTTTTCCTCAAATACCAGTAGCACTTCCACTGAGAAAAACTGCTATAAATAAGGTTTAAGCTTATAAAACCTGAACCTCTTTAGTGATGGTGCATTATGTAGTTCAGATTGACCTTCCTAACCAAGACAAAGGCTCTATAAATGTCCATATAAGCAACATCTGCTTGAGAGCAATAGAGGCAGTAAAGAATTATCAAGCCATAGTCCAAAAGAATAAGAAAAGTGAAACAGACATTTAGGACCAGTTTTTCCCAGAGGATATGTTGATTTTGGAAAAAGTAACAGAACAAAAATGATGTATCATGCTCCTTTTCTTTATACAACAAAGCAGTAGGAATCAAAGCAGTATGGTACTAGACTAAAAATAGACACAGATACCAGTGAAACAGAATTAACAGCTCAGAAACAAAACCACACACATATGGCTAACTAATTTATAGCAAAGGAGTCGAGAGCATACAATAAAGCAAGCAAACATTCTTCAATAAATGGTGTTGGAAAAACTGAACAACCACATGCAAAAGAATGATACTACATTGCTATTTAACACTATACACAAAATTAATTAAAAGTGGATTAAACTTGAATGTAAAACCTGAAACCAGAAAATACACAGAAGAAAACATAGGTGATATGGTCCTTGACATTGATCTTAGAGATGTCTTGGGAGACTTGACTCCAACAGCAAAAAAACAGTAAAAATAAACAAATGGGGCTACATCAAACTAAAAAGTTCTGCAGAGTGAAAGAAATTATCAAAATTGAGAGACATGCTATTGAATGGGAGAAGTTATTTTATAAATCATGCATCTGATGAGCAATTAGTATACAAAATACACAAAAACATAATATTCAGTTACAACAAACTCAGTTAAAATGGAATATTTGATCAGGTATTTCTCTGAAAAATACATAGAGATAGCCAACAGCCACATGAAAATATGTTCATCATCTGTTTTGTTAAGGAAATGCAAATCATTACCACAGTGAGACATCACCTCATACATGTGAACTATGGATAGTAATCATTATCCAAATGAGAAGAAACAAAAAGTGCTGAAGAGAATGTAGAGAGAAGAGAATCCTTGTACACTGTTGGAGGAAATATAAATTGGTATAGTCATCATGAAAAACAATACGGAGATTCCTCAAGAACTTTTAAAAATTTTCATATAATCAAGTTACCCCACTTCTGGGATTAGCAGATGTACCCATTAGCAGATGATTGGATGAAGAAGATGTAATATAATACACACAGTAGACTGCTATTCAGTTATTTACACACACACATACACACACATTTATGAAGAGCCAGCCTTTACAGCTTTGATGGATGTGCAAGGTATAATGCTTAATGGAGTAAGTCAGCTCGAGAAAGTCCAAATACCATATGATTTCATGCATATGTAGTGCATAAAGAAACAAAACAAATGATGTACTAAATAAAATTGTACACTGTAAGACTAAGTAAGTTTTTACCAGTTGGGAAGTGAGTATAGTGGATGAAAGGTGTCAACTGTATGGTGAAGGAAAGAAGTAGACTTTTTTTTTAAGATTTATTTTTATTTATTCAAGAACTGGGGCACAGATCAGAGGCGCGGGAGGGAGAGAGAATTCACCAAAGACAAGTGGGGAGCAGAACAGGCAGATGGACCGAGGATACCGCTGAGGGGAGCAGCTGGTGAGGCAGGAGAGGTCCGCCACACCATGTGGGCCTCTCCCTGGCCAGCCGGGAATCGAACCGGTGCTGCAGAGGCTGCGGACAGCCCCACAGCACGGCCCTCAACCTGCTGCGCCACCGGGGAGGCCCAGAAGTAGACTTTTAGTAGGGATTTTAATGAAATATATACAGATGTTGATTTATAATGATATATACCTGAAACCTATATAATGTTATAAAGCAATGCTACTTCAATTTTAAAAATCTTTAAATCATGAAAAAATCATTGGTTGAAACTCAGTAAAATTTTTTAAATCCATAAAAAATAATATTGAAATTGTAACCTTAGAAATGATAGGAAATCATTTTGTTAACTTAAAAACATCAATAAAAGGAATCAGGCATTGATTCTGCCTTACCTATCTGAATTTATAGTACTGGGATTTGTCTCTTTAAATGTATTCTATCAATAAATGAAGAAGAAATATAGAAAGGGAACATTATTTTTATAATCTTCTATGAATGAAGAGGTAAGCATATACAACTGTTTTCACAGGAAGAAAAACAAGCAGGTATTATGTGCCTAACCTTTCCAAATACTACCTGTAGTTTTGCCAGAGGGATTAAATCTTAATCTGATTGCAGGAAATACAGAAGTTATGGGAACTGATTGAACTGCTCCAAGAAAGTACAAATGTCAAAATCTAGACTCTAAGAAGCTCTATTGAGCAAACATTCCAGAATTTATTCTTTAACAAATAAATTATAAGGAAAGGAAAAGAATGGAAGAACCTCTAGATTAAAAGAGATTTAAAAGACTTCTTATTCTAATAGGGTGATAATAAACTGTTGTATCTTGGAAATGGATATTTGGGTGGTAAAATTGCCAATAGAAGAAATCAGGAAAATGGTTAATAGAAAAGTCAAAATAATGGTTACTTGAAGCAGTAGAGAGTTGGTTGTGATTGGGGTCACATAGAAGGGACTTCTAAGAATAGCAGCAAGATTCTCTTTCTTGTCTAGGCGGCGTTTTTAAGGTAATTCATTCAGTTGTGCATTTGATTTGTGTGATTTTCTGTATTTGTGTCTTATCTTACAATTAAAGTAGTTCTCAAAACTTGTAAAACTATTTAACTCTATGCATGCATTATAATTTTTTTTTAATACAGAACTGGAGAAAGTTAGACTTTATCCTTCTCATATAACAAAAAAATGTAGAGTTAGGCAACTCAAGATTGATACATTGATTTCTCAGATGTCTTCAGGGATGGTATGGTAATTCTGCCCTCTTGCTTTTTCTGTGTTTGTTTTTCTTTTTTAAATAATAGGGAGTGTTCCCTTACTAGACGGAGGTTCAAGAACTGCCTTGTCTTAATTCTCTGTCCTCTGCATCTGGCACTGTGCCTTCAGCACAAAAGGTGTCAGGGTTTGTTGACTAAATCAAAGAATGTACTAGCCATGAAGAAAATGCCAGTCATATCTCATTAGATCTTCTGTGTGTAGATGAAGTATGCCAGAACACCTGATGACTACTCATTTGAAGATCAGATTTCATTATTTTATTCTGTAGTATTCTGAGCTTTAATTACTTCATGGTTATATATTAAAATTTGCTTTTCCAGGGAAAGAATAAGGAAAAGAAAGGAAATAGAAAGAAAGATGCTTCTAAAACATTGCTGGATTGTGGGTGATTTAGTGGTGGGTACCCTACAGCGGTGATTTCTGATGGAGAGAATCCTAATGTTAACACAATTTTAAATAAATAAACAAGTAATCTACCCTGCCTATAAAATAAATGAAAGAACTAAGTGGAAAACCAGGAGAACATAATTTAATGTAAACAAAC